GAACCTGAGAACATCCCCTCAGCTCTCCCAGGGCAGGAATCTCACAGCTGAAGTCCTTTCCCCTGCACAGCATCATCCCTAAAGCTGGCYGGTATTTTTGGGGAGCTGTTTTATMCTATTTTTAGGAAATACCAGCAYGGATTRGGAACTTTTTTGGGTCTGGGARGGAAAAGGTCATYCTGAGCAAATTTCTCAACCTGAACTGAAAGCARAGAGGGGCTACAAACCCACTCCAGCTTTAGATGGAGCTAATTAAACTGCTGACATTTTAAGACATGATGATGTGAAATCTCTTGCTTTAAGCCAAGTCTGGGCCCTTTTCAGAGTTCAGTTSTGCTGCCCAGAGTCTCCAGAAGAGATGCAAGCCAGCTGAGGGGGGTGATGGGCTGTTTTTAATGTAGTATTCTCCCCACAGTGCAAGCGAGTTCTCAGCCTCTGGAAGAATTCTGTAATGTCAGCCTGCCTGGGCAGAGATCCCAAAAAAATCAGAGCTCTCCAGCTCAGGTTCCTATGAGAGGGTTTGGGGTTTGGCTCTGTTGTGTTTTACCCTGCAGGGAGAGCAGGGGAGGGGCAGTCCCAGCCCCATAGGGTGCACACCCCAAAACCTGTAGCATCACCCCAACAACTCTGCCTCGCACAAACAGGGACAAAAATCCCGASTGTGCTGTTTTCCAGAGGATGGAGGGTTTTGGGGTCCCCCCGGGCTGTGCCCTGTGCCATGTGCTGCCAGCGGGGTCGACAAGCGAGGCCGGGACTCGCCGGGAGGGAGGGCGGGAGCTGCAATCAGCAGCTCTATTGTGGCTCTCGGGCTGCCGGCACAATGCAGCATTAAGAGACAAAGTCAGCTCGGCTCAGTGGGGTGCGGGAGGTGATTTGGGGCGAGGACAGACCGGCTGTGACAGGTAGAACGAGAATGGAGCGATGTGGGGAAAGCCAGACCGATCCCAGCGCCTGCAAAGCTTCCCTGGCTCCAAGCCGGGCTGCAGGTCTGCGAGGGGGAGTGAACTGTGCTGCTTTACTGAGAATATTCCTGGGGCTGTTCCCAGGAGGGATCTGTCTGCGCCAGCCCTGGGGACAGGGATGAAYCCAGGCGTGAGAGGGGTGCGGAGGGATGGATGGACAGACAGACAAACGGGCTGGTCTGCGGGGAGGGATTGGTCGGGGCAGGGCGAGCATGAGCCCAGGCTGMAGCAGGAAAACCTTTCCATGCGGAGGGAGCTGGCAGGACACTGGGGTGGCAACAGCATTTGGGGTTTGGGAGTCACTTCAAAGCCCCACTCTTCATCACCATCCCTCGTACAGGTGCCCATGTGCACCTACCCCAGCCAGGTAGGGACCCACCAAACCCTGGTGGGGGCAGCCAGGCTCGGGGAGCCAAGAGTGTGGCTCTGTCCAGACCCCAGCCCTTCAGTGGGGGAAAAAAAATCGTAATTTGGGGGGAAACTGTTTTATTAGCTCAGAGAAAAGGTGAAGCATCCTGAGATCTGCCCCTCCACCATGCTCACAAGGCTGGTGTGAGGATGGAGGTGAGCTGGGGAAGGTGAGGATGGAGATGAACTGGGGAATGTGAGGATGGAGGTGAGCTGGGGAATGTGAGGATGGAGGTGAGCTGGGGAGGGTGAGGATGGAGATGAACTGGGGAGTGTGAGGATGGAGATGAACTGGGGAATGTGAGGATGGAGGTGAACTGGGGAATGTAAGGATGGAGATAAGCTGGTGGCTGTGAGGATGGAGGTGAACTGGGGAGGGTGAGGATGGAGGTGAACTGGGGAATGTGAGGATGGAGGTGAACTGGGGAATGTGAGGATAGAGGTGAACTGGGGAGGGTGAGGATGGAGGGATGAACTGGGGAGTGTGAGAATGGAGGTGAACTGGTGGGTGTGAGGATGGAGGTGAGCTGGGGAGTGTCAGGATGGAGGTGAACTGGTAGCCTCTCCCCGGCTGAGACATTTTCTGCTCCGTCATCCTGAGTTTTCTGCTCTGTTTTGCCAGACTGTTCCGGGGACGGCGGCTGTGCGTTCTCCCAATGCCATCTAGTGTCAGCTCCGGCGGCCCCGGACAGTTATTTTAAGGCATCAGTGCTGATTTATGGCAGAAGGATCTTTGAGGGCCAACAGGCTGCCCGGGCTGGTTATTAACAGCAGCACGGATAACGAACGGGTGGGTGCGCAGGCTGGGCTGGGTTATTTTTATTATCGCTCCCGTTTCGCACTAAAAACCCAAGCTGGCAGGATGGAGTGCGAGGATGCCATGCCCGAGGTGATTAAAGTCTTTCAACCTTCAGCCACTTGTCTTGTAGCCCCGACATCACCTGAGGCTTAATCACTCAGAAAAGTGCTGTCATGTCCTATTGTCGCCGTATTGGGAGCGCGACCTCTTTCCCGTTTAGCTGCCATCAGAAAAGAATGCAACTTGCCAGGAGACAGGCATGACTCAGGAGGCKGGTAATGGGATATAAAGACTTTGACCCGCGGGTCGCCCATTTGGAGGTCAGCGGCAAGGGCGGCGTTGTCCGTTGCACGGCGATTATTTGACCGGACAACCCAAAACAGGGAGCGATGGGTCCATCTGTGAGAGTCGGCAGGGCTGAGGGCTGGGCTGGGCTCTGATCCTGCTGTGAGAGCGTCAAATCCCACAGCTCGTCCCCGGTTTTGGGGTTTTGGGGCTGTGTGACTGCCCTCGGTCCCCTCCAGCTTAATGGCTTGTCCTCCACATGCTTCCCCTTCCACCATGGTCTGCACAATGAGAGCACTCTCATCTCTGCCTTTTTTGGGGGAAAAGAGCCACAGCAGCATCTCCCCTGTGTCCTTTCCATCCTCCTCCCAGCGCAGGGGAAGGTTCCACAGGACAGATGTGCCCTGTCCCCTGTTCAGTCTGTCCCCCTGTTCAGCCTGGCTCTGCTCGCCAGCATCAGCTGCCAGGATTTAGGTCCTTGCAAACCTCATCCTCATCCTCATCCTCAGCCACTGCTGACCATGTGAATTTAACTCCTCGGTAGCRAACCAGCCTCATCGAGGCACTTTGAGTCGGTGATTAATTAAGGTCTCCCTAGAAATGAGGTTACTCCCTGCAGCCTCACGTATAAATGTAAGATTAATGGGTGCTGGCCGTGTCAGATGGTCACGACTCTCATCCAGACAGTCCTTGAGCACGGGCTTTCCGTGGAAGAACTTCTAAACAATCCCACGGGATGGGGAATGAAGCTGGGAGGGCARTGGGGAGCCACGGGGCTGGGGAAAGGGTTCGGGGGGCTGAGCAGGGAACGGAGCAGCCGATTTGGAATCAACAGCCAGCGCCGCTCTCACGACTCTGCCGGCGGCTGAGCCAACATCCAGCCGGCTCCGTGTGTTTAATTTTCACTAATCTGTTTGGGGTTTTTTAATTATCTGCAAACAAGGTGCCTCCTTCACGGAATAACAATGGTGCTGGGGACACGGAGCGGTGGGCGGCCGGGCTGTGCCCACACCCCTTCCCCGCCGCTCCCGAACTTTATCCAGGATTTGCTTGCCTGTCCTTATCCAGCATCAATCATAGGATTCCGCCCTAATAACCAGCATCTGCATGCAGCATCTCCGGCAGCAGGAGCGAGCCCTGCTGAGCTGGTGTGTAAAAAAGCCTTCGCAATCGCCGTGAGCTGCGGAGCTGGAGGAGGGTTTAAATACAAGGCTCTTTAACAGGATTAAAAGAGCCCTTTCTTTCCCCACAGGTTTTCCACTCGCTCTTTCACGCTGCCGGAGCCCTCGGGTTGTGTCAGGGCCTGGCTCTCCGTGCGCTGACAGGTTTCCTAACTCCCCTCCCTGCACTGTCAGCACAGTGTCAACAGCAGCAAATTCCAGTCGCGGCAGCTGGAGGAGGAGGAAGCCCGGCTCGGAGAAGCCCCCGGCCACGTGTGTTTGGGTTTTGTCCTCCAAAACATCCTCAGCGGCTTTAGAGACCCGGAGAAAACCCTGCGTGCAGCAGGAAAATGGGTCTGAGCCCGTTTACCTGTCTCCTCCGGAGCTGGCTGCGGTGTTTGATTCATGTCAGCKGCTTGGCTGGTGACTGCGGGATGAATGACGCTATATAAATGCAAAGTGTTATTAATATTTCATGTTGTAGTGAAAATGTACTAATGGGGCTTGTTCCTGGAAGATAAAGTGCTGCCATTAATACACCTTTGTGTCCCCAGCGCTGGGGACTCACCTGTGGAGGAGTGGAGAGGGCTCTACCCGGAGCAGAGATTGCTCATCACACCTGGCAGCACCCCAAAAGAGGGGATTTTAACCCAGAAAGACACGAAGAACCACTTCTGACACCCACAAATTTAGGGGTACCTGAGGCAGAACATCCCCCCATCCACTTCTGGGTGCTGCTGGATGGGTGCTGCTCTGGGCATTCCCTGCCTGCCCATGGGGGGACACAGCCCCTGGGACCCCCTTCCCGGCACAGCCGCTACACAGGCATGTTAAAAAAAAAAAATAAAAATGGGCTTGTTTGATTTCAAACTGCAGAACTCTTCCCTGGAGCCATCCGCAAACACTGGTAATTTACTTTACAGCTGTTTAGATTTGTTTCTCTACATTTTTTTTAAAACCCCAGCAGAATTGCAAATGAAACGTGTGTTTGTTCCTCGGATGACTCCAGCCGTACCCGAAGTCCTGCACCCCACTCCTTGGACCCACTCCCCTCTGCCACCCATCCCTGCACCCCAGAGAGGTCAGATGGGGTCARGTCTCAAAAGACGGTGTTCTCTGAGCTCAGGGCTTATTTTGGGAGGGCTCCAGATTCTGGTATCAAAGAGGAGAGATAGGAAAGAGACTTGTGCCAGCTTGCAGGTGAGGGGAACAGAGGTAAGCATTTAATTAATTCCCARAGGAATAATCAACTGCCACCCACTCATCAGAGGGTGGGGAGGGATAAAGGCTCTGCTAAATTATAGTCGTGGTGCAAAATTTGAATAAAAAAATATTAATAAAGGGCGGCGTTGGGCTGAGCGGCTCCCGGTGCCGTGGGCGGGGGTTCTCAGGGCTTTGGCCACATCGGAGCAGGGGGAGATGGCTGCAGGGAAGGCGTGGATGGACCCCCGGTTGTGCTGGACATCCCTGCAGCATCCGAGGGCAGACAGCCCGAGATCCCACCCTTCCCCACGCCGGAGCAGCCGGCTCAGCCCTTCCCTGCACGGCAGCGCTGCGGGGCCGCCCTTGGCCTCGGGGGATCTGGCGTTGCATGGGACACGTGGGGATGTGCCTGGAGCCTCATCCCTTCCCCCGGGAATCTCCTCCTCGCTCCCAGGAGCGCGGGGATGACTCACGGGCTGTCTCTCGCACCGGGCGATGCGCGCCCGCCCTGGGCAGGCGCTGAGCGGCATCGGCCGAGCAGAGGGACACCCGCAGGTGAGCGGCTTGGGGACCCCCCTSTGCCGCGACCCCCGGCCCTGGGGAGGTGGGGAGGGCGCTGGGGAAGGGTGGGAGCTCAGCCCTAACCTCCYAGCCTGACACCAGGGCTATGGGCACGGGCTGGCTGCTGCAGGACGCGTGCACAGGGAAGAAGGAATTTGGGGTTTGCATGTTCCTCCAGGGATTCACCGGCTCCCACGGGAGGGAGAGAACCGGGAGCGTCCGTGGTCACTGCAGTCCTGTGAGCAGGGGTCGGGCTGTGCAGAACAGGGCACGCGTTCACCCCCGAGAGCTCCTCGGCGAGGGGGAATCTTATTATTTCACTGACAGGTAAAATATTTAAGGAGAGCCAGTGCCAAACGCAGCCCTGGGAGCGCTGCTCTGCTACAGCTCCACGGTGCGTGGGGTGTGTTTATCCGGCACCACGCAAGCCGGTGTCAAATCKGCCACGCAGGGGCTTGGGGCCGGTGAAAATTGGTTATTTTGGCTGCCCACCCCCACGGCAGCTCCTCGGCATGGCAGGGGCTGTGCAGCCCCCCAGCCCAACCTCTGTCCTGCCGTGGGGTCCCCGCTGCTTGGGGACACGGAGGGGCACACGGAGGGGCACACGGAGGGGCACACGGAGGGCACAGCGCTGCTCCTGCGCTGCCCGCAGGGAGCACGGAGGGGATGGCAGATTCCAGCGATGGGAGAGGACGCGGCAGCACGGCCCAGGGTGAGTCACGCCCCGGCCGCTGCTATTTGCTGTCTGCCCGGGCCGGGCATGGCAACGTAAGGAAAATTAATAACAAACACCCCGGCAGGAGGCGGGAGCTGGGGCGGGATGGGGGCTGAGCCGGGGCCGGAGGTGGCGGTGGCTGGAGGATGCTGTGGATGTGGTAAAAGCCACAGGTTTTGCCGGGTCCCTGTGTTCCCAGAGTGTGGGGACGGTGCGTGGAGGAGACCCGGAGCAGGTCTGGGCTGGGATACGGGTCGGTGGTGTCCCCAGAGATGGCCCCAGGAGCACGGCTCGGTGCTTTGGGGACCTCGGTGTCACAGTGTCTTCTCTCTTCCCAGGCTGGCTAACGGCATCGAGGAGCCATGAACTGGGGGGTGTTCGAGGGGCTCCTCAGCGGCGTCAACAAATACTCCACAGCCTTCGGCCGCATCTGGCTSTCCCTCGTCTTCATCTTCCGCCTCCTGGTCTAYGTGGTGGCGGCCGAGCGCGTCTGGAGCGACGACCACAAGGACTTCGATTGCAACACGCGGCAGCCGGGCTGCACCAACGTCTGCTTCGACCACTTCTTCCCCGTCTCCCACATCCGCCTGTGGGCCCTGCAGCTCATCCTGGTGACATGTCCGTCCCTCCTGGTCATCATGCAYGTGGCCTACMGGGAGGCCAAGGAGCAGAGGCGCCGTGAGGCCGGCGGGGACAATTATCGCTGTATCTACCCCAACCCCGGCAAGAAGCGGGGAGGGCTGTGGTGGACATATCTGCTCAGCCTCATCTTCAAGGCCGGCGTGGACRTGGTCTTCCTCTACATTTTCTACCGCTTCTATGAGAACTACACACTGCCTCGGGTGGTGAAGTGCGAGCTGCCGCCCTGCCCCAACGTGGTGGACTGCTTCATCTCCCGGCCCACCGAGAAGAACATCTTCACCGTTTTCATGGTGGTCACCGCCTGCGTCTGCGTGGTGCTGAGCCTCGTCGAGGCTGCCTACCTGATCGGGAAGAGRTGCTGTGAGCGCCTGCAGGATGGCAGAGGGGACAGCCGGCGGCACAGCCACGACTGCCCGCTCTCCTGCGCCGACCCCGCGGGCACTGGCGGGCAGGTTTTCAAAGGGACAGACTACAAACCCGCCACAGCCAACATCCCAGCCACGGCCTCCTGCCCCAGCACGCTGTCCGAGGATGAGGCTCTTCCCTAGAGCTGCCCCGGAGAAGGCAGGAGCTGCTCACCTGCCCTGCAGCTTCATCCTGYTCTTCCTCCTCCGTGCCCCAGTGGAGGAGCGATGAGGGTGGCAGTGTGCTGGAGCTGGGCTGTGCCTGAGGGGTCTCTGCCTCTCCTGCCCCAGGAAAGGCATTTCACGTCATCCTGCTGAATTTGGGGCAAACCAGGTGCTGTAGAACACTGCTGGGAGTGACAGGGACCAGCAGCTTCGTGGCAGCTGTGAACTGACAGTGGTGACCAGACTTTGAACCTGTACCAGCCATGACAGACASCCTGATCCCTCAGGAAACCTCTCACCCCATCTCTCACCCTACATCAGCCACACAGTGGGTGTCAGGGCCACCTCAGACTGATGCAATTGTCATTAATAACACTCATTAGCTGAGTGGGGACAAGAGCAGGTCCCTGGTGTCGCAGCCACCGCGGCGAAGCGCAGGCGTGGGGATCCGGCCGGGCAGGCAGCGCCCGCCGTGGGCTGCTGGATCATCCTGCTGGGCCAGAGGAAAACACCCGAGCAAAACACAGAAGAGGAAAAACACCCCAACCATTGATTAAACAGTAACATCAAACAGCAGAATCTCATCTCGTTTATTGTTGTAATATGTCGCGTTCAGCCGTGACACGGGYGGCGCTGCCATTTCCGAGGCCATCCGAGGCAGCTGAGCATTAGCTGGCATGAATAATTAACAATAATTTCATGGCAAATGCACTCACAAGTAACATTAACACTGAACATGCAGCTCGATCTGTTACTGGTTTTGCTTTGCTTAGAGGGTGTGATAATTATTTTTTCCATGAGCAGCGGCGGTGCTGGCGCTCCCTGGCTCTGTCCCAAAGGAAGTGGCACAGGGAGYGAGGGAACAMCACCTCTGTGTCCTTTGGGACCACRACCATTCTYGGTGASAGATCACTGCAGTGAGACCCTCCATGGGCAAAACTGAGCTCTTTTCCATCCTGGGGAAAGGAGCAGCTGGATGTGCTGGAGGGGGAGGCTGCAGCCAGGGACAGGCAGGGCTGAAGAGAAGCCAGGAGCAGGCAGGGCTGCAGCACTGCTGGGTGGGAGGGCAGGGACTGAAGCAGCCACTGCTGAGGGTGAGGATGGTGGGGAAGCCCTGAGGGGATCCCAACCACCGACACAGAGCTCTCTGAGCACACAGCAGCTCCTTATGCTGACACCAGTGAGTTCAGGGATCTCTGGGGTCAGAGAGGCAGATGATGAAATACAGATGGGTTTTTTTCCAGTACTTCTTTGTGGAAGCTGTGCTGGCGCTGCCTTCCTTCTATCCGCCCCTGGTGCTGGATTATCCACCTGAAAGTTTTCTTTATGAAGCCCATAAGGTCAGAGGACACAAGCTGTTCTTTGTGYGTGAGCCATTGCCCCGATTTAAAGAGCATGGGCTGGGCTGTTTGTTTTCCAGCAAGGCTGGCCGCTCCTGCTGCAGGCTGCTGAGTGAAACCCCGAGGTGTTCCCCTCTGCTGACACTAATCGGGGCAGAGATGAGCCCCAGAAAAGCCACCCCGTCCCACTTCCACCCACCAAGGCACAGCTGGAGCTGCTGCCCATTGCGAGAGACCTGAAGATCCAGTTGCTGGATGTTGTTGTGCTGTTTTGCCATGCTCAGAGCAAGCATTRCAGAGCTCTGGGTGTCTTGCACCATCCAGGCTTGGGATAAGCAGCAGCCAGCCAGGAAAACGGGAGCATTAATTTCTGATTGTTTCCCACCAAGCTGACCCCGTTGGTGCTGTGAAAATGGGGGTCTGGATACTGGGACACCTCCTGGGATGCAKGGGCAGGAGCAGCACCAGCAAACCAGGGGCTGTGTCACAATAAAAGCTGGATATTTCCCAGATTTTGTGTCATCACACAGGAAATCCCCTCTRTTTGCTTGTGAGGTCCCAGAAGACMTCCYAAATTTTGAGRGGAGGGGGATTTTAAAGAAACCCACCATAACTCCAGCCCRGGCAGGGATGTGGAGGGGATTGAGTGCACAGGTCAGGGTTGCTTGGCCTTCCCAGCTTGGGTTTCTTTCTTCCCTGGCCAAAATCCGCCCATTTGCTGGGAATTGAGGAGAATCTCTCTGATTTATGTCCAGCCCCAGCTGCCGGCTCCCAGGATCCCATGACTCCTGTGCCCCAGCCCTTGCGGGGGAGTCTCRTCCCTGGGGATGTGGCCCTGGAAGGGGACAGCTGTTGGCAGCCAGGATCCCGTCATGCCCTTTTTAAGACCCTTTTAAAGAGATTTGGAGGTTTTCCTGCTGGTTTGGCATCCGCCCACTCTGCTATTTGGGTTTTTCCTTGATGGACAATGCAAGGTTGGGCGTCCCTAAGTCTCTGGGTGTTTCAGTGTCCACATTTGACACTGAGGCCTTTCACCTGTCACCCCACGGTGTCAGAGCAGGGTGGCATCAGGGTGACATGCCCAGGGCTTAGCCCCAAAGATGCCAGGTGCTGAAAGCTGCTGACCCATGCTGGCACCTTGACCCTGTGCCCACACYGGACCTGTTGGCACAGGGATGGCAGAGGAGGAGCAGGGATGTGCCCTTTGATGGGATTTATCCCAAACACCCAGCTCAGCACTGCAAAACACGGCAAAGCACGGGGTGTTTCCGCTCCCCACCCAGATCTGCCTGAGGGAGATGTGTCCGTGCCAAAAGCGCCTGAACTTTCTCACCGTGGCCAAACGGCCGCTCCTGAAATTCCAAAAGTGCAGGAAAGAGGCTGCCCAGGGGTGATCCGGCCCCGCTCTTCACCTGGCCCTTGCAGGGTTCGGCCGTGGGGCGGGGGAGCTGCTGCCTCTGCAAGGAATCGGAGCTGCCGCTGCTTCTCGACAGCTTCCCTCTCTCCAGGGCTTTTCATCGCAAAGGCCACAGCCCCCAGATTCCTGCCGAGCTCCTGCCACACCGGCTCTCCGCAAAACATAGCTCAAATTCCTGATCCGGGCAGCTCCCGGGGTGAGGAAGGCTCCGGAGCCCCTGCTTGGCTCCGATCCGGGATGGGGGTGCCCGTGTCTGCCCCCTCCTCCTGCACCCCCACGCTCCCACCAGGGTTTGTTTTGGGTCTCCTGGGCTCCCATTCCTGTGTGTTCCCAGCCTGGCAAACGCTCTCCGGTTTTATTTGACCGCCTGGAGACAAAAAGCCTCCGGGCAAGCGGCTCCTCAACCTGCCAGGAGGGCAGGGAGCAAACCTCCCCGGGCTCCGAGCACCCCGGGGCTCTTGAGCCGTGTCCCCACGGGAGGGGCGGCCCTGGCGAGGTGCCCTGCGAGCCTCCAAGCGCGGCTGATCGGCCCCAGGGCGTGCCGGAGGATTCCAGGGAAGCCTCGGGGCGCTCAAGAGACCGGGTGAGCCGCAGGTGAGGGGAAGTGCATTCCTTCCCGGCTACGTCGGCAAAGGAACCGATCGGGGCTGATCCATGGGGCATCCGGTGGCATGGGGTTGGCTCAGCCTTCTGGGAGCCACCAGTGCTTTGGGGACCCCCTTAGGGTCACCCCCAAGTCCTATGGGGTGCAGCAAGAGGCAGCAGCAGAGCAGAGGGTCCCTGTGCGTGGGGACCTTGCTGCCACCCTGCTCTTTGGGAAAGGTCCCATGTGGCCACACCGGCCCCGCCAGGGCGGTGCCTGCGAGTTCCTGTAGGTTGGAGATAGCGATGAGCTATTGCAAAACTATTACTAAGGCAAAATAATTYAAAAAGTGGGTTACGATTGCGTAATTCGGGGCTATTGGCAATGGTTGCCGGTGGCCCCAAAGCTGGGGGAAGAGGGGAGGTCCCTGGTCTTGCTGCTGAGTGTGCAGCGCCCAGCCCGTCCCTGCAGGGGATGGGACATCACCTGAAAGGAGCTGCCGGTGTCGCCTGCGGGGGAATCCGCCTCGGCTGATCTCCCCGCGGGATTTGCCCTGCCTCTGTTGTTCGAGCCGAGCGTGTGTGTGCATGTGCGCTGACAAGAACCTCTCCGGGAGCTGTTTGCCAGACTCACCCACTTACTGGGAACCGAACCAACCACCCTTCCCCTCCCCTCACACACTCAGAAAAGCCCTGGGTGTGCAGGAGGGCTGCGGCTGMGAAGGAGCTTCCCTGCTCCCAGAGGAACCCGGATCCGGACACCTTCCTCCGGCCCTTTCCCACCTGGACAGGTACCTKCCGGGGCACCACGGGAGCTGCTGATGGAGGGGGGACAGCCCCGTGGGGTAACGGGGTGCAGTGTCAAGGTGTAAAGGGGTGCGGGTGGGACCCGGGGCTGCTGTGACTGTTGGGGATCACACAGTGCCACATCGGGACCCCACAGGCCATGCCAGGGTCCCCGTGACATAGGGGGATGGCACAGTGTGGCACTTTGAGGAACAGCAATGGACACCCCAGTCCTTGCTCCTCTATCCCACCACCCTCCCCAGGGATCCAGAGACCCCCAAAAAAGTGTCTGTGCTGAGTTTGCACCCCAGAAGGGAGCGGGGCGCTTTCAGGTCCAACGCCCCGCGCCCACACGGGGCAGGAGGCGGCGGTGACACAGCGGGTTGGCATCCCGGGGGCTGGCGAGGGTGCCGGGCTCTGCGGGAGACAAACCGGCACTGCCGGCACCGTGAGCACTCCTGAGCGCTGCCCCTGCTTGCTGTGGCTGCCAGCCAGCACCGGGGGGGCCGGTGGGGCTCACACACCCCTGGCACAGGTACTGGCACAGGGACAGGCACAGGGACTGGCACAGGGACTGGCACGGAGATCACGTCCCCTTCCTGCCCCACTGCGGGCCCATGAGTGGAGTCAGCGCTGGGCTGAAGCGGGCACATGGGTGCTGGGCAGGTGGGTTACGGGCAGGAGGGTGCTGGGTGGTCTCCCTGGCACCAGGGATGGGGGCACGGGTGGATTGGCAGGCTGGCGAGGGGGCACTGCCCGTGGGGGGWTGCAGAGACTCCAGATTTCAGCCATCACCACCAGCTTTTGGGGAGAAAGCAGCAGCTCCCCTGACCCAAATTTAAATTCCAGGATTRGTGCAGTGATTGCTCCCCAGCCTGACTTTGCCAGGCAGGAGGATCTGCTTTCAGACGGGGCAGAGAGCGAAGGTGTGTGGGCATGGGCAGAGGCACAGCCCTGGCACCCGGCACACACTGCCCAGGACCCCACAATTCCCGCTGTGTCCCTGGAACAGAAGGGTGGGAGCACAGCCACGAGTTTGGGGCTCACTCTGAGGTGGCCCTGGCCAAGGATGGGTTCCCAGACAGCTCCATGCTGAGAGGATGAGGAGGACTCAAGATTTTCTCCGTCCCCACAGCCCTGGGACACGGCACAGCACAGGATGAGAGGACCCTGATCACCAGTGTGCCATCACACCCTGGCCATGCCCTGTGCTGGACACTTCCCACCCCACAGCCCCCGGTGAGCGGGGAAGGAGCCTGAGCCTCCTCCAGGTACGTCTCRGAAGGCGCTGGGTGGGCAAYAGAGCAGCAGCAATCCCTTAAAAGTGAAAATCACCCAGCGTTCTGTGAACCCCTTTGTCAGGGCAGACATTTTCACAGCCCAGAGGGTTGTAAAAACCATCCGGGTTTGTAAATCCAGGTGCGGTAAATCTCTGTCTGGGGCTGAGCGCGTCACCCTCCTCACACGGGGCAGCCCCGGGCTGAGCTGCGGAGCCGGTTTGGCCGTCGGGGCCTCCGGTGTTGTAGCCGGGAGTGGGAGCGGAGCCTGGCCAGGGTGACGTGCCTGTGACACCCATGGACTGTCACACACAGACCGTGACACCCATGGACTGACACACACGGACCGTGACACCCATGGACTGACACACACGGGCCGTGACACCCATGGACTGTCACACACGGGCCGTGACACCCATGGACTGACACACACGGACCGTGACACCCATGGACTGTCACACACAGACCGTGACACCCATGGACTGACACACACGGTCCGTGACACCCATGGACTGTCACACACGGTCCGTGACACCCTGGACTGACACACACGGTCCGTGACACCCATGGACTGACACACACGGACCGTGACACACACAGACCGTGACACACACAGACTCTCGCTTTCTGCAGCCCCGCTCTCCCTGCGCTCGGGCTGCCTGAGGCATCACCCGTGAGGCAGAAAACCACTCCCTGGCATGTCCCAGCACCGCAGCACTGCAGGAGCAGCCATTTCCGCTTTGGCTGTTGATCCTGGCCTGCTCCGGYGCATTGTGCTGCCAGTTTGCACCAAGACGCACAGTCAGGCTGGGAGTTGGTGGCGGGGGCTTGGCTGGGTGGYTCAGCCCTTTCAGCAAAAGCTCATCAGAAGGAAGTGCAGAGAGGCTGAGTCACCTCCACCTCTCTTGTCACCAGGAGCATGTGGGGACAAGATTTATTGTCTGCAAGGGTGAGGGTCCCCCACCCTAGATGAGTGTAACGTGGTGGGGGAGAGGGTTCAAAGGTCAGTGAGATTCAATGCAGAGAGAGATGTGTGACCTCACTGCTGTGTCCCAGTGCTCCTCACCCACCGCTCCTCCTGCCTCTCCAGGTCGGGTGACTCTGGTCTCCCCCGGCTGCCATGGATTGGAAAACGCTGCAGGCGCTGCTCAGTGGGGTCAACAAATACTCCACAGCCTTCGGCCGCATCTGGCTCTCCGTGGTSTTTGTCTTCCGCGTGCTGGTCTACGTGGTGGCGGCCGAGCGYGTCTGGGGCGACGAGCAGAAGGATTTTGACTGCAACACGCGGCAGCCGGGCTGCACCAACGTGTGCTATGATCACTTCTTCCCCGTCTCCCACATCCGCCTGTGGGCCCTGCAGCTCATCTTTGTCACTTGTCCGTCCCTCCTGGTCATCATGCACGTGGCCTACAGGGAGGATCGTGAGAAGAAGAACCGGGAGAAGAACGGGGAGAATTGCCCCAGGCTCTACAGCAACACAGGCAAGAAGCACGGCGGGCTGTGGTGGACCTACCTGCTCAGCCTCTTCTTCAAGCTGATCATAGAGATCCTGTTCCTCTACCTCCTCCACAAGATGTGGGACAGCTTCGATTTGCCACGGCTGGTCAAGTGCTCCAACGTGGATCCCTGTCCCAACACCGTGGACTGCTACATCGCTCGGCCRACCGAGAAAAGGGTCTTCACCTATTTCATGGTGGGAGCCTCCTCCATCTGCATCGTCCTCACCGTCTGTGAGATCTTCTACCTCATCTTCAAACGAGTTGCCCGGAAGGCGAAGAAGTGGAAGAAATCCACCAAGCGCTCCGTCAGCTACAGCAAGGCCTCCACCTGCCACTGCCACCTCAAGTCRGAGGAGAAGGACAACAAGTCCCAGACTAGGTGTGTGGCAGCCCTGACTGCCATCTGAGGGGTGCTGGGAAGGGTGGAGGGGGGAAGAAGTGTCCTGGCATGTGCCAGGGATGGTTGGCACCTGAAGTGACCTCACCAGTGATGCCACCAGCAGACTCTTCAGCCAGGACCTCGATGGGTGTAAGGGGATGGGGACACATCCATGGGAAATCTCCTTCTCGTGACCATGGGCACACCTCGGGTGTCCCAGCGGTGTGGACACGCTTGGTGGCAGGTGGGTGCTGGCTGCCCGTGGCCATGCCTGAGGGTGTCTGTTCTTCCCACAGAGGAGAAGAGCCGTGAGCTTGCCCATCCCAGCCGGTTCACATCCCCTTGGCCCAGCAGCTTTTCCAGCCTGCCGAGTCCCCGAACCCTCAAGAGTCGACCCCTGTGAAAAATGACTAAACCCAAAAAAGTAATGTCCCTGGGTGCCTGAGCAGACACAGGTAAGGCAAGGGCAGCCCTGGAGCTCTGCAGGCGACAGTGCCACCAGCAAGGACATCACAACAACACACAGATCCTGATCCTCTGTGCCCAGCAGCTCCTCTTGGGTCCTGCAGCTCTGCTGCCCCCATGCTGGGTGTGAGGGCACTGGTGTGAGTGTCACCCAGCACAGTGACAGCCCCCCCAGCTCACTGTGCCTCACCCACGCACAGTCCCGAGCATCGCTTTCTTTTGTACCAAGAAAACAAAGGAATTCCGKGCTCGGCACCGTGGCTAGAGCTGTCTTCATGCACCCAAAGTAATGAGAGAGAAGCAGGGCTCCAGGCTGTCATCAACTGTTCTGCTAGCCCAGTTTGCCCAGTTTGCCCCTACTGGGTCAAGGCAGCTTCTCTCCCTTGGCCCACACAAGCACTGTGGCAAGTCCTGCCCAAAATGCCCTCGCTGGCTCTGCTGCTTCCCTCAGTGCCTTTTGTGTCCCCTCGGACGCACATCACACCCAGCACGAGCTACAGATCAAAAGGTCAATAAATGTCATGTTTTGAGACAGCAGGATCTGCTCTTTTTGCTGAAAATTGGGGGAACTGGTGAGGGCAGAAGACATGGATTTGCAGGGGTTCCCCAGGAACCCGTGGTCAGGTCCTTCCCATCTGATCTGTCCAAGCTGGGCATCGGTCGAGCCCACGGCCGAGCTCACGTCCGCCCGTTCCGCCTCTCCGGGCTTGTCACGCGTCGTTAAACTTTAATTCAGCAGAACCGCACGCTGGCCCCCAAGGAAATCAAGGAGGGATCAGCATCAATTATTTACTAAACCTTGATAAATATTACAATAAATAGGAATGATTTCCATTTAATCTCTCCTTAAACAGCACTAGCGGAGGGTCTGCTGTTCCCAGCTCCGCTCAGTCTGCCCACGTTTCACAGCCCCACGAGCGTGTTGGGGTGTGCTGAGACCCCCGACAGCAAAGCTCCGTCTGAAACCCACGGGAGAATTCCTGGTTGGGCTCGGGTGGGGCTCACCCCGAGAACCTGCGGGATGCGGGATTTCAGCCGGGCTCCGGCGGGGTTCATCCCGGGAACCTACGGGATATGGGATGGGAGCCAGGCACGGGAGGGGCTCAGCCCGGGAACCGGCGGGATGCAGGGTTGCAGCCGGGCTCCAGTGGGGCTCAGCCCTGGAACTTGTGAGATGGGAGCCAGGCACCGGTGGAGTTCATTCCGGGAACCGGCGGG